TTCTTCTTCTTCTTCTTCTTCTTCTTCTTCTTCTTCTTCTTCTTCTTCTTCTTTCCCCCCTTCTCCAGCCTTCCACAAGATTTCAGGTGTATTCAACTGTATGGACGGTGTTTGGGTTGTTCATGGGATTTCAGGGGACTATGTTTTGTTGTAGGAATTGGACTGTTCTCTACCAAGAGATTTTTGAGATTTTTGTTTCGAGAAGTTCAGAATCATTCCTGGCGCTTCAGACCGGCATTTCTGGAGTGACGGTTTGAACTTCACTGTTACATGCAAGAGACCCGAGTTTCATTTCCGAATGGGGAAACATTTTTAGGAGATTCTCAGTCTTTTTGCTGGGATGGTGCATCCCTCTAAGCCTGGGTAGTCCCTGACAGACAGGATGGGAAGCCCGACGAATAAATCAGATCTAAATTATGTCGATGGGGGCTTAAAAAGGACATCACTTTTCACCTTCACCTTCACCTATCCCGTAGACTGGATGTCGAGGCAAGGCCGGGTGAACGGGTGATGTGTCCAGTTTGCGTTTCCTGACCAGAGTGAGAAGGTCAGCATATGATCCAGTTTCATTTTTGATCCGTAGTTTGAATTCATCATATTTTGTGATGTGATCTTTGTATGAGATACCAAGGACTTTTCAGATGCATCTCATCTCCACAGGTTTGATCCTTCTTTCAAGGTCTGCATTCCAGGTCCAGGTTTCACACGAATACAGAAATATTGACATGACTAGGAACGCATCAGTCTGACCTTTGATCTGATGGTGACATTTCTGTCGTTCCAGATGGTTTTCAACTTGGTCATTTCTGCTGAAGTTTGAGCTATTCTGGAGATTATTTCTGGATTTGATCCTTCGTCTGTCACTATTGCACCCAGGCATTTGAAGCTGCGTACTGTCTCCAGCCTCTGGTTGTTGACCTGGATGTCCACTGTGATGTTCTTGCAGCTGTTAGACATCAGTTTGGTCTTTTCAGCTCTGATTTTCATGCTGTAGGCTGTGGAGGTCTTTTCAAGACGGTTTACTAAGCTGACTAGTTCTTGCTCTTGTCCTAAAAAAGGCATAATATACTTTTGTTTAAAAAATCTGTATGTCTGTCTATCTTCAGTCGTCTGAATCGTTTGTGAACCTACGTTTTACTGCCGCGGGAAGCGAACTTGACGGGGACTACAAGTGTGAACTGAACGGCTTCGACAAAGACAACCAGCATGTGTTGCTGCAAAAAGATGAGACCCTCAAACTCACAGGTAGAAAACTGTAGAACATATTATTCTTATAACTATAATGAAGGATTCTAATAGTAGGCCCCGGGCAACCTACATAGGGAACCTAAACAAATTGGTAATGGGGATAGATCAGGGAAACGTAGATTATTTAAGAGCATCTGGGCAATGGAATGAATGGAGAACCATGATCGTCGATGTCTGTCGCAGATCTGGCACTGGATGATGATGATAATGATGATAAAGAATGTCTTGCATACGTTATGGTGGTAGATCATGATTTATCCTCTGAGGGAATCCTCAAGTTGTAATCACGAGTTGCCGCGGGTGATTAGAATTTGTTATTTCATGAGT